TTTGCATAATCGATGGTGTAGATCGTCCATGTCAGGGCGTAGCATTCGCAAGAAAATGTGTATCATGCCCGCTACCGGTCCCATCAGGGCATCGCCACATGATGAATGGCATGGCTCGTATAATCGATGACTCTGGCCGACCCTGATAACGTCAGGTTGGAAAATTGCTGGTGGTTAACGCGGATTGGCTTAACGTTCGAAGAACATGCACATCAGAGCCATTTCATCGATGATGAAACTTTGGTTAATGATTTCTTGTCGATATAGCTTTTTCCATTAACGCCTTATTAATTATCGATAAAAATAAAGTTGTACGTTGGGTCATTCCATATCATCCTCAAGTGCAAGCCAGTTTTCAAGTGACTGACAGGATGGACCCATACACAGCAGACCAGCTCAGTGGGCTACTACACAAGTAAAATATGCTGATTACAGGACAAAGCGCTTCGGCGTGGATTCCTATTGTCCATTATAGCTGCCCGAAGACCTGTCATGAACTCAGAATGGTCAGTTAATGAAACTCTGGAAGAACTTGGTGATCAAAGTACTATTTTTGCTAACGTCAGTGCACGAACCTGATGTATGAATATGTATATGGGCCCTTCTCAGAGTAACGGACTGGAGTTCAGACGGAGAAATAATTGTACTAGGGGACGGCTGAAGAGAGTGTGATAAAAGTCGCAAGCATTCGAACGATCACTCAAAACAAGGACAATAATTGTCAGTTCCGATTTCGAAAAAGAAGTGTTGCGAATAACAAGGAATGGTACTGTGCTATTTTCCTCTCGCGAGTTTTCATATTTCACGCTGCTCAGTTCGGTTTTCCTTACCGAAAAGTTGGCGTGGCGTTGACGAAAAACAGTTTTGTGTGTAAAAAAGTTAGCAGTGAGTAACCACCACAAAATATTCTAGTGAACCACTTCTTCCATCACCAATCATCAGCGAACAAAGCGGTCAAAGTGATTTCCATCCGCTCGGTTCTGACAATTTGTGTGCCTCAACAGCCGCAGACCTTGAAATTTTATATAAGAGAAATATTTTCCCGGCGATAAACGCGGCTGTTCGCAGGGTTCCTCTGGTCATCGCCGGGACAATAAAACCATTGCTGTTGGCGTAGAAAAAGCCCTATATTTGAGGCAAGCAAGCCCCTTTCCTGCAGATGCGCAAAAAGTATTTTAAGAGTCTTATGAGGAATTTAATTTACCCATATAATAATCCAGCCAATATGCCGATATTGAACGGTTTCTGGAAAATCGATCACTGGGACCGTTTCGCTTGGCTGTCCAGTATCGGAAATGACTGACAGATAGTCATTCTGGATATTTATTGAAACAATGTAAAAGCAATATCACACGTATCAACCGCTGTAAATCATTTCGTCGGCAAGAACGAACGGCGAAAGGTTCTCGTGTGTGAAACGAAACTGACCGGACCTGACGAAACTGGACTACAAGCGTACATAATGAACGCCGCTGTAGTTATTGAGCAGTGCCAGGCCGCTCTCACGTTCCTCCTTTCTCCACTTGATCCGACGGTTCTGAAACCATACTTTGATCTGAAATCATGATCATTAAAAATTTGCAGGTAACCAAATGGCAAATTAATTTTAAGACAACCTGCGTATCAGACAGGCCGAGGCACTTGGCCAAGCGACAGCGCTCCTCACCTACCATGTACTGCTTCTTCTGAAAAACCGCTTCGAGAACGGTCAGCTGTGGCATGGTAAAAACTGTGCGGAACCGCTTCGCTTGAACGGCGGTCGCATTTTGACCGTTGCACTGTCTTTGTGAACGCAGACCCTCTAGAAGAATATTCATTATCCTCGTTCAGCAGTCTGTGAGATGTTCCAGGTTCACGCTTCCATTTTTCATTGCATTTATTGGCTTCTTGGCCGCGGCCGCTAACCGTAGCTAATAGTTGGTAATGGCCGATTCGATCTAGGCTTTAAGTAAGTTTCTTGCGCAGGAAAACAGTCGAACATAATATGTACGGATTCGAAGCTGAATTAATACCAAACCGACTCACCGCATCTGATCTAGTAGCTCAATCTGTTTAGCACGGAACTCCTAGGGTTCGAACCATTTTCGAATGACTCACTTTCCATCGTTTCTCGTTCAGACTGATGAACAATTTCGAGAGGCAACAGACCACAGGTTGCACTGGGCACGCACATGGAGGCATTGTCTTCATGATTGTGGTACTCCTGACTGGTTATATCTAGTAGAAAATCGTAGAGTTCTGCCAACAAATAATTCCATGAATACCAGTATCATACATGGTTACCTCCAAGGAACATAAATGTATTACATGACAGCTTTCTCTTGTCCCTTTCTATATTTCATCAAGTGGCACAGGCCGTCTCTAACCGAAGATTCTCCCATGGTCGTGCGTAAACATAAGTAATGTTGTATGTTGAGATTATGTACCACTTAAAATATGGTAAAAAATGATCTCATGTTTTCGGACGTTAACATCATCGCTTGAAACTGGAAACCGGTTATATATCCGAAATAAATAAAGACTTGATAAATGCTAT